GCATTCCTGAAAAAATGGAGCTTCTTACATCAGTGAGTTAGATCTTCAACTGTTATTAATTGGCTATTATTATTGGCTTTCGGGGTGATTTATACCAGCTGAGGCTCCTTCTCAAGAGTTTTTAAACCCAGGGTTAACTGCACTGGTGTGTCTAGTCTCATTTAGATTTAAAACCAACAACTAAAATCTATGCTAAAATTCAAAGGCACAGTAGAGTGGCACTCTGATTTCACGTCATACTTCCTCTCAGCTGGCAGGTGATATAAAAAGTGACAAGCTGCTCTAGCTTTACACTGGGAGGCTGGAAAAAGCGCCGCTTCTCTCCAGCCAGCTGCATGACGACCCACTGCTCCTCTGATCTGTGCCTCATTCCCGGCCCTGTTCTTGCATTGCCAACTCTCCTGGACCAGACAGATCAGACACTTTACAGTAAATGGCATCTGGTCTGGAAGTGCTGGCAGCCCCTTTCCACAGCTTTAAGGCTCCTCCCTCCTGCAAACCAGCCGTTGGGGGAGAAGGTACCAATGCTGATTGCGTAGAGTATCAGCACTGCTAGGGATGGCCCTGATGCTGTGAAACTGAAAATTGTGGGTCAGAAAGCCTTGGATCCAGCTTGAGCAGAAATATCTTCACTGCTATTTTTAGCCCCATAGTATGAGCCTTCCTAGCCTACATCAGTTGACCTGAGCTCTGAGACTAGCTCTCCAGGTTTATTTCATGGTGGAGATGTACCCACAGTTCTATATCTAAATGGAATAGTCACAATCATCTCTTCAGATGAAGATGAAAGAAAGTTATCCTGGTCCCTGTTGCTTTAGAATTCTGTGATAACCGTGGGGCTCCAACACTACCCCTGGACTGGGAAGTCTAGTAACAAACGATGGGAACACATCCTCAATTAAAGAGACAGACAAAACCCTTGCCATGTCCTCCATTTGCTTCCTCCAACCCTACCCCCTCACTACATTCTTATCTAGACCAAGGCTTGGCTCTTCAAACTTCATTAATGTCCCAGTACAAGTTAGCCATGGGGTTGTGTGTTCATCTGCACTGGTTAAGTGAGATCTGTGGAGCAGGTGCTCATTGGTATTCTGAAAGTACTATAGCTTGTATACGGGCTGTAGCCTTGCCCCTCTTTCACTCTCCACACAACCCTATACACACTTGTAATAAGACAGAGTACAAGATGGAACCCTGCAGAACTCAGCAGGACACAACCGCGATTGCCCAAATCTACTCTCCAGGATCTTTTGCAGAGAAATAATGAAGCAAAGGGCAGCCTCATTAACTTTCTGATTCATCAGAGAAAACAGACCTCGTTTTTGAGAACTTGCTGACATTTTTCAGATTAAATCACCAAAATCTCACCTCCAAAATCAGCAACAACAGCATGGCCATCTTCATAGAGGAGAATATTGTGGCTGTAAAAAAAAAAAGACAATTTAACTGTATGAGAGTGCCCTGAAGCACTAGTGTATTTTAAGGTTTTGTCTCTCTATTATGCTCTCTAGCATCTCAACCCCCTTTTAAGTAGAGGCTTGTCTGCAGAAAAGCCACCTCATTCTACTGAGTATACATACCCACTCAGAGGGCTAAAAAAAAAAAAAAATGCAAACCTGACAAATTTATAAATCAAAATGTCAGTCATTTTCCAATTAGATGTAGAACAAATACTTTTTTTCATTAGTAATAGATCAAATATAACAGATTTATGAATTATGTGCACAGCATTATCAAAGTGAAAGAGATGACATTTGAAGATGAACCCAATGATAGCCTTTAAATAAAATTATAAGGCCTGATTCTTCTCTCACGCTTGTTTTACATCATTGTAACTCCATTAAATTAATCCCTAATTTACACGGATGGAAGTAAGAGCAGAAACAGGTCTGTAGAGGATAAATATTAGGGGATAATTGCTAGGAGCCACTGAAATTTCATGAGAATGAGAAAAAATGAATACATATTTTAAAGTATTTTGGACAGATTTTCAAAAGATGCTTTCCCTTTGCATCATGAAGGCCTCATTTAATATGCCCAGAATTGCATCCCACATTGGTTTGATTTTCACCAGCACTCAATAGAAAAGTCCTTACTCATTTACATTTGGTATCACTCATTTACATTTCTGACCATTATGATGCTGTCTGAGGATGTGGAAAAATGAGGGTACCTAATCATATTTCTGTATAAGGTAACTCTAGCCTATACTAGCCACAGCTGAAGTATGATGCCAACTTCACTGTTATGAGATGCAAGCTACCTTTTACCTCAGATTTATTAAAAAAAAAGTATCTTATTTTTTATAATTTCTCAAATAGTTAAGGCACTTAGGTTTAGATACAGTCTTTCCTTCAATTGCAAATATACTGTACAGCTCCTATCAATAGCCTGTTTATATTGGCTCTGTGATGCTAGCAGACCAGAAGCCAGCTCCTGCCAAGGCCCCAGGCCTCACTGAACTCTAATAAATGCATAAGTCTGTGATAACATTACAAATAAATATACAATTTAAAACCCGTTTTAAGAATTTATTTAGTGTTTTATAAATATAAGATTTTAAACTGATAAGAATATATTTAGTATTTTATAAAACTCTTGTAGGATGCTGCACACATTCTTCTCACTTAACTATCCCCCATTTTATGAAGTGATAGCAACCATTTTCCTTGCAAACCTCTGTGACTATGTAATTCATCAAAGAGGGGGGAAAAAGGCTTGTGTAATGCAAATGATGTTCTCTAATAAGAGGAGGTTAAATTGTATTCATTAAACTCAAATGAGCTATTGTGTGAAATCAATGATCAAAGACTTTGTTAAGAACATTCCTCTCCTGCCTCCGCACCATGAAAAAGGACCTGCTGATGCCAGCTTGGTTTTTGTGAGAAGCAGCTATAAACATGGACACAAGAAAAAATTCTTCATCTCTTTGCTGTTTGAATTCACAAAGGGCCAGAGACACTAAACAGAAGAGAAAGATCCCCCATAGTTATCCCTGAAAGACTTTGAACTGACTACCATTCTGTCACTGTTAGAATTTAGATAGCAACTAATTCCTGTTATATGTCTGTCTGCTTTAATGTGTAAATAATTCTCTTTTTCTTTTCCTAACTTTAGATAGTTTATTACAGGACTGGATAGAGGCTTTGTCTTTGGTAAGGTATCAGTTGATCTGTGGTAAATGACTGGTCTCTTGGGACTGGAAGCAACCTGAATGTTTTGTGATGTTTGGTATAAGTGACCATTTTTCACTAAGTTCAGGTTGTCTGAGTGACAAGACAAGATTGGTGAGCCTAAGGGGACTGCCTATGACTACATGGTAAGACTGACATAATGATCCAGAAGTTCACATTTGTTACTGAGTAAATCTAATTATAGAATATACCTCTGGTTAGGAGTATCGATCTTGTGTTTGACAGTCAGCCCTGAGGCAGGTGTTCATGGTTGAGAGCTTATGACAGCTTGACAGACTAAACATCTTTAAGATAAAGTATGCAAACAATCTCCAACTGAAATCCTGGTCCCAATGAAGTTAACAGGAGTTGTGCCATTAATTTCTTTGAGTCCAGGATTTCACCCCTATGCTCTGTTCATGTTTGAGTTCCAGGATGTCTCTGTTCATAGTATCTCAGTAAATTCACGGAGTATGGGACAACTCATTACTTTTGTCAACATCACTCCATTGTCTTTAATGGCATTAGGAGCACTTAGTGCAGTACTTTTCTAGCTTTTGAAAATTTGCAGACCTCTAAAATGTTTTGAATGTAGGTGATCACCCCTTTAGAAATCTTAGACATTATTTGCAGAGTAGACTCCCAGGGGTCTGTTAACTACAGATTGAACTACTGTTCTATAGTAACAACAACCTTCTGTGGACTCCTTAGATATAGTCTGTGCTCCCTCTCCCCCCACACTCTAGGTGTCTGCAAACCATAGGTTGAAAATCACTGACAGTGTATTATCGCTTTACCTTCTGAATAAGAAAATTAATTTTCCTTGTCACTGTATGACTCTGGTGTGATCACATATGGAATATACCATCCATTGCTGGATACCATATTGAAATACATAAAAGGTTGTTAAAAGAAGGAGGGAGAAAAATTGTTCTTTCGAACCTCTAATATAGAATAAGGAGCAGTGGGCTTAAATTGCAACAAGGAAGGTTTAGGTTGGGCATTAGGAAAAAAATTCCTGTTATGATGGTTAGCCACAGGAATAAATTGCCTAGGAAGGTTGTGAAATCTCCCTCATTGGAGATTTTTAACAGCAGGTTTGACAAACACCTGTCAGGGATGGTCTAGAAAATTCTTAGTCCTGCCATGACTGCAGGACACAGGACTACATAACCTCTCCAGGTCCCTTCAGATAGCTCTACACAGCAGAGTTATTTCACAATAATGTTTGTTATTCTGAAAGATCGTTATGTATTGTCTATACGAGAAGCCCGTTATTTTGAAATAAATTCAAAATAACAGGCTTCTCACGCTGACTTCCTGTAAACCTTGTAGTATGAGGATTAAGCGAGTCAGCAGAATAGTGATTTATTTCAAAATAAGTGCTGTGTAAGTAGCTCCAAATTTCAAAATAAACTATTTTGAAATACCAGAAAAGTATTGAAAAAATTAGGGGAGAGGATATAGCAAAAATATCATAAGTCTATCTGTTCTACGAAGCAAAGTAAATTGGTCAAATTTTCAAAAGTGCTTAAGGGTCAGAGTTTTGAAGGTATTTAGGCCTAAAAATATAGACAGGTAAAGTTTAGAAGGGACTTGATTTCAATGGGAAGTGGGTTCCTAGTCAGTTTTGAAAATCCACTAGATGCCCGTCTCCAGCTTTAGGCACCTAAATACTTTTTAAAATGTGGTCCTTACAAGCCCAAGACCTATTGAATTTCCATGGCACTTAGGGTCCTTAAATACCTAAATCATTTTGGAAGAAGGTAATTAGGATCCTAAGTCTCTAAAGTACTTTTGAAAATTTTACCTTAGAGTAAAAAAATTCAGAGGTTACTGGTTAGTAGTCAAGATAGGGACATAGCATAACTGGGTTATGCTAATTTATTGTACACAATACACTAATTTATTGTATGGTCTCGGAAAATAATATGCCTTCTCTGTGCCTCAGTTTCCTTGTCTGTAAAATAGAGATAATGCTTTAAAAAGTGGTTTATGATCTACAGATGAAGAGATATTCAAGTATCTATGTAGGTTCTTGTATTAAGCCAAACATCAGGACATCTGAGTATTATTATTATTATTAGAAAAGAGCATAAAAATGGTACAGGATGACATAAAAGGAAAGATTGTAATGATTGGGGAGGATAAATCTTTTATTTAATCATGGGATGAGGAGGCACAAGGGAGTACCATTAGAAGTAATGGGATGAAATGTAAGAGTTCAGAGTAGCATTAGATCTGCTTCTAGTGAAGTTAGTGGCAAAACTCCTCTGAACTTCAGTGGGAGTGGGATCACAGCATTGGTTTTCAGGAGCCAGTATTTAGATTATCACCTTGATCTTCCCTTCATCACATCATGTGCATTGAATCTTCAAAAAGTATAAATCAAACCATAGAAGAAAAATTACTTTTCCATTATTTTGTGAGTGAAAAGCCAAACTTCAGGGTTTCACTTAACGTACTAAGCCTCTCTCAGAGTCCAGGCGGAAAGCACCAGCAAAGGCTGGTTTTTGGAACAACATTATCAATCAGTGGATCTCAATTATTTATATTTGTTCTGAATATATTGAACTCAAATGTGACTAATCTTTGTGACATGCCATTGGAAGTACAAGCCAATGCCAACTGAAGAAGACGGACTATATGAAATACTTAGATATCACAATGATGATAAACAGACTGTCACTGTATCATCTCTCTTTTCTAAAGCCAGCCTCAACATTCAGGGGGCTCTAGGAACAGGACTCAAGTGTAGTCCTGTTCACCTAAGAATAACAAAGGCATTATCTGGATCTTAGTGCTATGGGAGATTCCTTTTTAAAAATACCTCCTTCTGTCATTGCTCAGGGTTACTACCAAATATCTATAGACTATAGTACTCAGAGACACCATCATGCAATTTCATTATTACCAGAAGTACTACCGCCAAAAGGCGTTTACTACTTGACTACCACAGTGAGAAAATGATGTCTCCAGTGAAGTGGAAGCACTTTGTGATACAGCAATGAAAATGATTAACCTGTATGATTAGAGAGGCATAGCCATAAGCATGCCTGGAAGCATTCCAAGGGTTAAATATGCTGAGCTAATTAGACTTCATTTTTAATCTCATCACATCATTAAAGCCATTAGTTTACAAACACATCTGCCTGATATGCAATCACTCATATAATTAAAAGCAAGGCAATATATGGAAGCTGGCTGTTAGCAGCCTGATAAAGTGCAGGCAATTCAGGCCTGGAGGT